ATACCCAACTCAGAGAGCCTCACCAGGAGGATACCGTGGTCGACGGTATCGAAGGCTGCTGAGATGTCGAGGAGGACCAACAAAGATATTTTACCCCTGTCGGCCTCCCTCAACAAGTCAGCGTACAGGGTGACCAATGCCGTCTCTGTACCGTGGCACGGCCTGAAGCCCGACTGAAATGGATCCAGGGCATCTGTTTCATCCAGATGTGCCTGAAGCTGGTCAGCCACCACCCTCTCGACCACTTTGCTCATGAAAGAAACATTGGCGACGGGCCTATAATTGCCAATTTCATCCACCGCCAAATTAGGTTTCTTTCTTATGGGCCTAATGAGTTTCTCCTTGAGGGCAGAGGGAAACCTGCCCTCAAGGAAAGACTTATTTATTATTGCAGTGGCCCATTCTGTTGTTATCTGCCTGGCTGCTTTGATTAGCCAGGCCGGGCAAGGGTCCAAGGAGGAGGTGGTGGCTCGACAGCAGTCAAGCACTCTGGCCACAGAATCAGGCGTGACAGGCTGAAAAGAGTCAAGGGTTACCGGGCAAGATGGAGCGCTGGACATCTCTGCTCGACTCACTGTACATAACCAGAGGAAATACATGGAATAACCATCCTGTCCTTTGTCATAGGAGACCTTGAACATTATTCTGTAGGTTGAAATATTGGAAAGCATTCTTCTCCTGCCCGTTCTGGGGGGAAATTCAATACTTGTTATATTCGTAATACAGTGATACCTTGACTTAAGAACTTAATCCGTATTGGAACGGTGGCTGTAAATCAAAACGTTCTTAAGTTGAAGCAGCATTTCCCATAGGAATGCACTGAAAACCAATTAATCCGTTCTGGTTGTTTTTTGTCCTTATGTCAAGGCACGGTTCTTAAGTCAAAGCATTAGTTCCTATAAGAACTAATGCAAAGCTGGTTAATCTGTACTCTGCCACTAGGGGGAGAATTTTTTCTTTTTTCTTCTTTTGACCTAAGATGAACTTAGGTCAAGAAAACGGCAGGAAAGGTTTTTTTTTTTCATTCATAAGTCAAGACACGGTTCGTAACGCAAAGCAATATTTCGCACCTGGAGCTGTTCGTAACTCAAAACGTTCATATGTCAGGGCACTCGTAAGTCAAGGCACCACTGTAGTTTAGAAAAAAGAAACCTTAACAAACAAACTGTAAGCAATGAAAAGGAAAAAAAGACAAAATGATATAGCACTTTAAAGACTTACAGATTTATTTCAGTGTGAGCTTTCATGGATCAAAATACACTTCTTCAGACAGAGAGAATAAGTGAATTTTGATCCAGCAAAACTCACACTGAAATACATCTGTTGATCTTTAAAGTGCTATAATATTTTGTCCCTCCCAGGTGCTGGGGGGACATGGTGGCACTGCGGGTTAAACCGCAGAAGCCTCTGTGCTGCAAGGTTGGAAGACCAGCAGTTGTAAGATCAAATCCACACGACAGAGTGAGCTCCCGTCACTTGTCCCAGCTCCTGCCAACCTAGCAGTTCGAAAGCATGCAAATGTGAGAAGATAAATAGGTACCACCACGGTGGGAAGGTAACGGCGTTCCATGCCTAGTCGTGCTGGCCACATGACCATGGAAACTGTCTTCGGATAAACGCTGGCTTTTATCCGAGACGGGGTCCCACCCCCTAGAGTCAGACACGACTAGACTAAATGTTAAGTGGGACCTTTACCAAGGTGCTGTGACAGACTAACATGGCTACATCTTTGCAAATTCTTAGCAAAATTGCTGGGGTTGTAATATGCATACAAGAGGTGCATATTACATCTCTTGTATGCATATTAATAATCATGTGCTGTCAAGTCAATTCTCACTTTTGGTGACCATTTTTGGGGCTTTCCAGGTAGAGAGAACTTGGTTTACCATTCACTTATTTTTGGAGTGCCCTGGGACTGTGCAGCTTGCCCAAGGCCACACAGGCTGACTCTGCTTGCAGAAAGCCCAGTGAGGAATGGAACTCCTGACCTCTGGAATATCTAAACCATTGTGCTATCCAGCCAACTCCATTTCCCCATTGTGCTGCCTGTGACTAGTGCCAGTCTGTGTGGCCTTGGGCAAGCTGCACTGTCCCAGGATGCTGTCAGAAAAAGGGAATGGTAAATGACTTCTGAGTATGCTCTACCCAGAAAAGGTTTGCCATTAGTCAGAATTTACTTGGTGGCACATGAGGATTATTTGTTCAGCAACTAGTCTTCACCAAGCAGAAACATATTATCAGTTGGAGGAACATGACACATGTTGGACATTCAGTTAACATACATAATTTTAGGACTGGCCCATGGTCTGAGCAGGGCTTGTTCCACCACTCCACAATAGGGTGCTCCTCTGCTTAAGATTGCAGGCTGCCTGGTGAATAATTGACAACATATGATTGAAAAAAAGGTACATAATAACTGTATTTTTATGCTGAAATTGTTCAAACAATTGAGTAAAATTTCTTGCTTGTGACTCAGAATTACAGATAATGTGGAAGGTAATATTGTTATGCTGTTTCTTGAGGTTCCCCTGCAATTTCAAGAATTAGACATTCAGTTGGTAAGACTGGAGGATCAGCTGTCCATACTTTACTTTTCTTAATATCAAATTCTGAGAAAGGTACCAATTATATACCATGAGGATACACTTGTACTTTATTATAAAGACCTCCCTTTTACTGGCATTTTTATGCTGCAAACCTCCTGCATTTTCATAGAATCTCATATGTTTTCACAAAATATGGCAATTCATTCTATTTAAATTCATGCAAATATGTTTGCTGAATTGGATGCTATGGAATAAAAATTTTGAAAAGCAGAATAATGTGACTTTAACTGGAAAATGTTCCTAACTATGTGTCTATGTTTTGTTTTGTTTTGTTTTTAAACTCATGCACTGGTTCTGAACAAAGTAATGAGAATATATTTACTAAAAACAAGGCTGTGTGGATTCCCCCACAACACAATCCTGAATATATAAATCTCTGAAGTTAGAATTTATCAACTAATTGCTTAATATACGATGCTTTTGCCTGCCTTAATTACCTTGCTGATAGAAGCTTAGGCTTGTTAATGAAGGATATGGGGTATTCTACTCAGTTTCCACAGATGCCACTGATTTTTTTAAATTTAAAAAAGATCTGTAAGGTTCAGAGAATGAGTCAAATAGTTCAGAGCAAATCATATAATTTATAAACTTCAACTTCTGTTTGAAGAATGTGAACAAATATTAAGCGGAAATAAATTTCATATTTAAACAAAACTGTTCCCAAGACACTGCACTGTTAAAATAACAAACACTATAGGATGTTTCTCATTTGCAACATCTGAAGGTTAGAATCCAGTGGTGAATTAATACTTGCTTACTTTACCAGGAATAAATGTACTGTGAAAGCACTCACTGAAGCTGAAGAGGAAAAGGGGGTTGTAAAAGGTTAGATAGTTGAGATGGTGATTAATGGCCATTGGGCTTTGTAGAAAAAGAGTACCTATCAAATAACAGCAGCAATAATAGCAGCAGCAGCAACACCAAAGTGTGTCATTTGGAAACTCAAAAATAATCATCTCTCAGTCCTCTGAAAAGATGTTGGGACTGTAGGAATCGACTTCTTTTATCTGTTTAGGTGTGAAACCCTTCCAGTGTAAAACCTGTCAAAGAAAATTCTCCAGATCTGACCATCTGAAGACTCACACCAGGACTCATACAGGTAAAACAAGTGCGTATACTTTTTTTCCCATTTATATTTTTAATCTTATTTTACCTAAACTTGCTCTGCTATGATTTAAATTCTTAAACAATTTCTGAAAAAAATTAGTAAATGTCTAAATGGCACTGCTTTTTCACCTTAGTTATGAAACCTTAAAATGTTGCTTAGAGCAGGGATGGGCAACATGTGGCTATCCAAATGTTGTCGGAATGCAGCTCCTATTATCCGTTGATCACTGGTTTTGCTGGCTAGGACTGATGGGAGTTGCAACCTCTGCAGATCCACAGCTGGCCAAATCCAGACTTAGCCCAATAGGGTTTTCATTATTACTACCTTGGCGCAGGAGTAAAACTCAAAGGAGAGAGAGTGTACGAATTTCCAAATGTTTAGAGGGACGAGGTTCTTAGCTTTTGGCCATCCAGATGTTTTGGATTTCTGTTCAGAGAATCCCTGACCATGGGATTGGTCAGGGACTCCTGGAGCTGAAGGCTAAAATATTTGAAGGGCCAAAGGTTTAGAACTCCACGGCTTTAGAGCTTTTGTAGGTGATTTAGACTCTAGCATTTTCCAAGCCTCTCTCCAGCCCTTGCACTGTGAGAATCTGTTCTATGAGCTATGTAAGTGCAAGGAAAGCCAGACTACATGTTCTTACAACCTTGCTTTAAAGTAGGGGTAGCCAAATTGTGGCCTGTGGGACACAAGGTGGCCTTCTAGCATCCCTTATTTGTTTGGAGGGGCCTACTCCCTCCAAACAAATAAGAGAGTATTTTGCTTTAAAAGCCCCATTGTGTCCTTGCGTGTGTGTGTGTGTGTGTGTGTGTGTGAGTGAGAGAGAGTGAGAGAGAGAGAGAGAGAGAGTTCTCCTTCACATGTCCCTTCTCTGATTTTACAAAATAAAATTTAAAGATATTTTTGTCTACTATAAGTTTTGTAAGTTTTTAAAACAAAAATATTTTGGGGGTAGCTCGGTGTGTGTGTGTGTGGGCCTTGGACCTCTGGTGAATGCCTTCCCCTGTTTTAAAGGTTTAAGTACCAAATATGCTGTTTTAAAACCTAGCTTTGAAAGGTGGAAAATTCATGCTTATTTGCCTGAACTTTAAGTAACTACTGATAGTAACTAGAGATGGGGATGAACTGTAAAACTGATGGTTTAGGATGGTCTGTGGTTCATGGCTATCCATGAACCATGAACTATCACCACCTAATAAACCAGCTCATGGTTCATTTTTTGGGTTCATGCTGGTGTCAGCTGAGTGGTGGGTGCATGCACCAGGCAGCAGAGCTAGCGTCAAGGAGCCAGGCCTGCTGTTTCTGTGCAAACACCTGGTTGCCAGATGAGTGACAGGTGCATGTGCAAGTGTGATGAGAGTTGATTCCTCTTTTACCTCTGTATGGTTTTTCCAAAGAAAACCATTCCCCTTCCATTGGAAAGTACCACCTGTTCTCAAAGCTGCTATTTTCTGTAAATAGCAGATTGGGGTAATTTTCAGTGGGGATAAGTTCTCCTATATATTACTTTGGACTGGGACCTATTTTTCTTTTCCTAAAGAAAAAATGCACAGAGAATCCCAAGCATCAGATTCAAACAGATCTTTAAGACAATGGCAAGAATCCGGTTGGCCTAAGTTGCAGTAAACAACTCTGGTAACTTCATTAGGCGCAACCATGCTGTGGACATTTTGAGAAAATTAAAAGCCAGTGCCAACAGCAGGACTGGAACTGGTGGCAGTAATTTTCCAGTTTTAAATAATCTTGATCCAATTCTGTGGCTCCCAAAGTCTTCCTAGGATGAAGGGGATCCCTGGAACCTGATGGGGTGAGTGGGTGGGAATTAGAAGCTTTTAATTCTCCTGTAAAGACTGTGGAATGGGTGGAGCTGATGATGTCAACAGAGTTGTGCAGGATGACTTACATGAACAGGGTTCTGGCCATTATGTAGTTAGACCCAGAAAATTGTAGCCTGAAGAGTATTTTTATGGTGTTCTCGCTTTTGCTCTGATTTGCCATTGAGTGCCTCATTTCTATCTAGTGTTATAATGTTATCATGCTATATTACTTATTTCTGAAAGTGATCTGAATTAGTCATGAAAAATGGCAATAAGACACCCCCATACCTGCACACTAAAAAAGGGATACTGCAATTGACTTGACCAATAGAAGAAGTAGTGTACATATGATTTAACCTAGTTAACAGCAAATGGTGACAAAGCCTATTGTATTTATTGTTTTTAAGATAATTTTCTTTAGCAGCCATGTAATAATTCCCCTCCATTTAAAATAGGACATAAACACTTTATACGTAAACTAAAATAAGACTATCCTTTCAGTGGCAACTGTAGAGACTATCAGTCAGGGAGTGCTCTGCTGAACCTAATTATTTTTTTAAGAGGTGACTCTTTTAGTCTGTTCCAGCAACAACAAAACAAAAATAAATGTATTGCAGCACCTTTAAGACTGACAGATTAATTTCAGCAGAAACATCTATGGATTACAATCCACTTCTTGAGACACATGGGGAAGAGTATCTGGGCCAAAAATGTATATACAGTGCATATAATATAAATAAACTGTATATAAACCTGTGGTCACCCGCCAACCTAGCGGTTCGAAAGCATGCAAATGCAAGTAGATAAATAGGGACCACCTCGGTGGGAAGGTAACAGCGTTCCGTGTCTAAGTCGCACTGGCCATGTGACCACGGAAGATTGTCTTCGGACAAAACGCTGGCTCTATGGCTTGGAAATGGGGATGAGCACCGCCCCCTAGAGTCGAACACGACTGGACAAAAATTGTCAAGGGGAACCTTTACCTTTACCAAACCTGTGGTCAAGATATTGTTACCCATGTATCTAAAAGAGTGGTCTGTAATCCACAAGTGCTCACATAGAAATAAATCTGTTAATCTTAAAGTGCTGCAATAATTTTCTTTTTCTTTCTTTTTGTGCTTGTTGCTAATGCTGGATCCGCTGTAGAACTTACCTTCAGCAGCGCGTATCCCCTTTGCCTCCTTCCCAGAATAACGTGAGACACTTGGAGTCTTGCAAGAGTGTCCCTGGAGGGGAGGGGGGAATGAGTGAGCTATTTAATTGGTGTTCCTCCCTCCCTCTGTCCTCTTCCTTGCTGGCAACTCACCTGTCCACCCTATTTTCTATTGTGAGTTTACCTGGACACATTCGGGGGCTGGATAGGAATTTTTGACCCATATCCTGATTGGCTTTTGGATGCGGGGATTTTTCACCTATCCCGCACTGGAGCAGGTGCAATGGCATTTTGAGAGGTGGAAATATTTGGTCACACAGGCAGGTAGTGTGGATAGAACAGGTTTTGGTGAGTACCATCGCAATCACAGGTAATATATAGCTCGTCTGGCCTCCCAACGCTGCAGATCGTGCAATTACAGTGCTGGGGGGGGGAAGATGCACTGGGGCCACACCTGGAGCAACACTCAACAAGCAGAAGGTGGCTTGAGGTCCCAGAGTGGTCAAATTTGGGCCAGCTGGGTTCTCACAGTCTTCATGACCACGAGAACTTGAGGCTAGGGACTCACCCATCTCTTTTGTAAGGGGTCCATTGAGACCTCTGTGCTTAAACCAGATTCCATAGTATGGCAGGACCCCTCTTTTACAGAGGGGAAGAATGATTATTTAATAAAGTGTGGCCCATGTTTATCCCATAATACTTGTCTCACGTCATTATTTTGGAGTAAGCGGGCAAAGTGAATTATATCTCCTTCTGAATATTCCCTGGATAGAGACCAGCATGGCCAGTAGCCATATGACTGAGGGATTCTAAAAGATGTGATCCACAAAAGTAACTTTTCCAAACTCTGGGCAGCAGTGCAATCCATATCTTATAGGGATCATTGTCTAGACTGCCATGACCTCTATGATACTCAGTTTATTCAGTTATCAGGTACATTGGTTCAACTGGGTCTACAAAACTGACAAGCACTCTCAAGTTTGTTACCAGTTTGTTAAGTTTTGCTCTATGCTAATTTGATAATGATGTGCTTTGTTGACAGGTGAGAAGCCTTTCAGCTGTCGGTGGCCCAGCTGTCAAAAAAAATTTGCCCGGTCTGATGAATTGGTCCGTCATCATAATATGCACAACAGGAACATGAGCAAACTTCAGCTCACCCTTTAGATGTTTCCTATCATCTGTACAAACCAGATGGAACCTTATGGACTACTACAGACATTTCAACCATCATCTCTCAGCTCTTAAGGAAATCTCCAGATGTTGTCAAATTCAGTTGAGACAAGTTAATTAAACTGTAGGATTCTGTTTGTTTTGAGCAACTGTTTGGACTTTTGAATTTTCCTGTTCAAAAAAAACCTCAAATATTTTCAATGTGTAACATTATAATATAATTCCAAGCTGACTTGTTATACTTTAATATTATTGTAGATTCTAGTTATGTATATTTGTTCTCTCCTTCAGAACGTTTTGTACTTTTTATTTTTTACTTGAAATTTGCAAGTGCAAGACATGGATAATTCTCAGTCATACTTATAATAATTATTGGTATGTGTGGAAATATCTTCATGTACACTATGTGCTCCTTGAGAACACTGAGATTTTCATATAGTGCTTCAGTCCTGTACAGATCTTGAGTCAAATATGGTATCCTTTGTAATATTCAAGGGGACAGTTCTATACTCTTTTGTGCATCTTCAGCAGCAAGCATTCCAAATAGCTTGCTGCACAGGGACCACTACTTCTGATGGATTGCAATGAACCTTGAGACAGGGGGAAGGGAACTATGTGTGCTTTTCTCACCTTGATCCTGCTCAGTTAAGGGTCTGCACAGAGTCTATAATCATACCACTATGATATTGCCACTATGATATACCGCTATAATCATACCACTATGATATTGCCACTTTACGCATGGAAGACTTTCTCTGCAGAATCAGGAAATTTGCTTTTTCAATACTCTTGTCCATGTGTAGAGTGCCCTCTATACATAAAGTTGCTCACTTACATTATGCAGACCTTTAATATGCATCAGTCATGACTGAGGATTGCCATGATGACCCTGGTTTCTACTCATGAGCATCCAATGGGCAATATCTCATTGTTTGCTGTAGTCAATCTCAATATAGTAGGCCCACTGAATCAAGCATAGTAAATTTATGTTAGAGTGGGACCAATATGAGTCAATGGAACTTATGGATGAGTTGGCTCACTAAGTACCCATTGATTCAGTGGGCCTATTCTAGTGTGATTTACTATGTTAAGCAACAGGATTTTGGCCAGTTTGAAAGAACTGAAAGGGCTGCAACCTGTCTGAGACAAGAATTACTAATGAAATTATCAATGATACATTTATATATTTTTATTTTCCAAAAATCTGAAGGCCTTGTGAATTTTTTAAGAATTCTCATTGGCACAATGAAAAAGAAAGATTGAGGTCTGACTAGACCACTAAAAGGTAGAAGGGGAATCTTATTCTTCCGCTCAGCTTTTCTACTTCTCCCTTCCTGTGGTGTCTTTTTTTTCAGAAAGTGCTTCAGTGAGAGATGCTTCCTGTTCTTTGAAGCAACCAATATCAAACCAGTGGCCAGTGGCCAGACGAGATCTTTCAACTCTACTGCAGGGTTTCTCCCCTACTACATTAGGCTTGTTTTTAGATACTCTCTTTCTCCTGTTCCTTTTTTGCCCTGAGGAAGAATAACAGAAGGAAGTATTGATATATCTGCAGTATTCTATGCTTGTTGACGACATACGGTAATCCTTTTCACATTTTCCTGGGAGTAAGCCCCACTGAATCCAACGGGGCTTATCTCTGAGTTGACTCATATAGGATTGTCCTGGTAAAACAATGTTGTGTAGATCTGTCCCTTCCCATTGATGCCTGTGAGAAACTGGAAGTGTGTGCAGTCTGCAAGATGGCTAGCTTTGTTTCTAAATTAAATAAAGTTAGAGGAACCAATGCTTTTCTATACTATAAACAAGACTCTTGCATTGAAATTGACTTGTTTTTTTTTTTTACCAACATTCATGTAAAGAAATTGTACAGTTTTAGTTTTAGTTTTTTTCTATTTAGAAACTTGTTTGAATTTACTCCACATGGAGACACCAGTTCCTTGCACAAAATAAAGTCAGTATCAGTGTAGATGCTTAGAGTTTGTTTAACACGCAGCCATGCTGGTTATGTGGCTAGCAAGTTGTATAAAATAAAATTGAACTTAAGAAGAGGCTGGTCCAAAATCTCCATTACCATGTGGCTCTTAAGCTAAACAAATGGCTCTTAAGTGACTTGAATGTGTTGACATTTACAATTATATGTGCAAAAAGAGATCCCTAGTGTGAGGAAATATATTGTTTCAGGGTTTAGGGTTTATTATTTACTATTAATTGCTTGGAGTGGTGTATGTATATCTATAAATATATATCTAATAATGTATTGCTCTTGAATGAAATTAGAAGGTAAATAAACTTTAGATGCATCATGGTTCAGATGTTGCCGTAAGCTAATGATACCACAAGGACTGTAACCTGCATTTTTCACTGAACTATTAATTAAAGCCCATTTAAAGAGAAAAGAGTAAGAGTCCAACAGATGTCTTGTTTCATGGCGGGTAACAGGTTTCAAGTTTCTTCTCCAGTAGTGTTGACCTTTTTTTGTATATAAAGGTACCACCAGAATGTATGACCACTAGTTAACCTGTCCAGGTCTTGACTACAATTTATCCTTCTCACTGGGGAATTGTACTGACAACAGTATCAGGTTTCATATTATGCTGTAGATGGAAGGTTGTTTCACTTCACCACCTGGACACTTACGGATGATTTCCTTGAAGAGAATGATCCACAGGCCTCACTGACACTGGTCTCAATGACTTACATGAATTACTTCTCCTTTCAAATATACTCCAATGTCTTCAATACAAAGAATGCAGATACACATAAAGTTCCAGGACTTTGATTGCACAATATCACACCATACCCTTGTATTATTA